TTACAAATTATTTTATTGAATGAATTTTTATTAAGTTTAATTTATTATTAATTATTAAAAGAAATTAGAATAAACTAAAACATATTAATTAGTACTGCAGTCTTATGTCAGTCAACCGTGGCCATGGGACCTGTAAAGGGCCCGAAACGTCGGTTTGTTTGAAAAAACAAATATACGCGATTTAAATTCGGAAAAATAGTTTCATTTCCTATGTGTAACAATCGCGAAAACCTAAGAACAAACTAAATTGTAATTAAAAAAATAAATAATTAATAATTAATTGTAAATACTTTGTGATTAGGGATGGGTTAGCGCCCGGCGCTTTGTTAACGCCGGGCTTAATTCGGGTTAAAACCCTTTTGAAACCGAGGCCGATAACTATTTAAAAGTCTTATTGAAAAATCTTTATTGCTTTCTGATCTAGACGAATTAAATTGTCTTCCTATTGAATCGATTTTTATGAAAATCGATTAATAATATGCATCCTTAGTTAATGGTATGAGAAGCCACAAGATTGCAAGGTGAGTTTTGTATGGAGTTGCCTCTTTTTCGTCTAAAAAAGACAACATTTCGTACATTGAAATTTGTATTAAGTATTTGCCGTATTCGCCATTTCTGCCCAAAATTATGGGTAGCAATGGACTAAAACATGGTGCTTTGGGTAAAAACCCAGGCGGTTTGATTAAGTATTAACGTACTGCTCGTCTCTGTTTGTGGTATAGGTAGGTAGGTCCTCCGTAAAATTTAGTTTGATTAGAACGACACAAGTCAATGTTTATAAACCAGTGTACGGGATCAATGGAAGCAACTGAACTATGACATAATTTCGTCACCTCCAATGAACACTAACGCCAACTTAATTTTCGGACCTGTTCTGTTTTTTGTTTCTTTTTTCACAAAATTCATTTTTGGTTTTTTTTCCAATTTTGCTGTTTGTTTCACAATATTCAGGGAGCTTAATATTAATAAATATGGCTGTTTACAAACGACCAAAAATACAATTGAAGTAGTGTTCATTGGAGGTATCGTTTTGATCAGTGTTATTATTTCATAATAATAATAGAATAATACTTCCAGCGCTAGGAACCAGACGTAGGCTGAGGATCCACCCACTCCTACACTAACCTAACCCTGACAAGGACCACCATGTCATAGTATCACGTCAGATGGCAGTTTAAACTATCAAACTGACGTGACATTTGTAAACGAAGGAACCATAATCTGGATTAGTTAATATGGTTCACGTGTAGCCGAGTAAATAATTAAAACAACACATAATAATTTTAGCTAAGATTACGAATAATCTCCTCGTAAAGCACATTACGTAAACAACACACCGAATTCGGTTACATTATGTTTAAAGTGATAACTGGCTTCGACATATTATATTAATTGTTTCGTCTATATTTCTAAAATCTAAAAGGATAAATTAAAATTGAATGACCTGTGTGACGTCGAACTATAGGTATATTGTCCGGGAATGGCTCAATGAAACGTTTGATTATTTGACATGCGCGTGTGACACGTCCGTTCACCCCGATATCTTGATCCTACTTTCATAAACTTTTCCATAATGTTATCATAATGGAGAATTTTAAATTTTTTAGCGTCGTTTCACTTTAAATTCCCGCCTTCTTTTCAAAGTTGTTATTTATGATGTTAGTAATACAGTCCTGGGAGGTTTGTTAGTGGGTGTACTACGTGAGTGCGAATGCCGGTTACGCGAATGACAATAATGCGAAGACGGTTGCGCGAAAGCTTAAATGCGCTATAGTTCATTTGCGCGAATGGCCAGTTGCGCGAAAGCTTAAATGCAGGCTGCAGGTTGTTGCAATTCTTTGCAATGCTAAGCTTTCATAATAAACGATACGTTTATTTTTGTAAAAGTTTATTAGGGTTTACTTGCAACGATTATGTCTTCTGTATTCGTGCTATCGTCATTCACGCAAATGAACTATCGCGCACTCAAGCTTTCGCGCAAATGAATTATCGCGCATTTAAGCTTTCGCGCAACCGTCTTTGCGCTATCGGCATTCGCACACACGTAGTACACCCGTTGTTAGTATTTTACAAATAACCCTTTATGTTATATCTACATAATTACATTAAGTATAGAACATAGCTAAATTAATGCAAACTGACGAAATTACGTGTTAAAAATTATACCTTCCACCCCGTCCTTTACAAAGGACGGACGTTCAAATTTGCATAAGGTTTTTTTTAATTCTCATCATAATGCCCAAATACCTATGACCCTCTCAAAACAGCGGTGGCTTGACAAAAACCCCAAGCCACCGCACACATGCTTTTTAAAAATAACTTTAACTGTTTTTAAATAGAGAATTTTGAGTTCTATCTTACGCCATTTGAAACGGATATTTCAAAAGCAGAAATGGAAGGTAATATGAGATAACCTTTTTATTGAAAAAAAAACCGACCTCAAAAGTTACTTATCGGCTTTTTCCTATTTCCATGGGATCCCCTCATCAGATCCTGACTTCTTAGTGAGAATGGGACTGTTACATTTTACACTTTTTTTACACGTATTGTGTCAAGTAAAAAGTCGACTTTTATTTGCGGAAAATATTCTTTTACAACAGCATCGTGGGCATCAAGGACCACCTCGAAACAAAAAAAGTATTTTCATCGATTTCCATGGATCCCCCCCCTCATCAGATTCTGACTTGGTGACAATGGGACCACCACGAGAGTGCACCCATTCAAACAAAAAAAATATTTTCAAAAACAGTCCATTATTGACGGAGAAATCTGAAAACATACATACAGCCGAACGTATAACCTCCTCCCTTTGTTTGAAGTCGGTTAATAAAAAATATCCGTATAAAATTGTAAAACATTCTCGGAACATATCTTTAATTCAACAGTTGTCTAATCCACTTTCCAAGATAAATCGAAAGACCGTAGACATCAAAATTATACAGTACAGATTTTATAAGTAGCTTCGTTATTCAATCATTCAATGCTGTTTCACACTAGATGGGGTTGATATTCTTGCTTGGATTTTATAGAAACGTGTCATGAATTAACGTTATTGCAATTATTATTAATAATAATAATAACGCATACACTCATAGCCCCATAGGAAAACACAGTACCGCGGATGCCATCGACATTTATTAAACAACCACAAATTACACCCAAACTTACTTCCCTGGGTGAACTATTTCACAATGAGCTCTCCTGCTACTAAATGTAGGCCATACAGTGAATTATAACGGCCCAAGAATCGAACCCGGGACCTCTGCGTGGCAGTCCACCATGCTAACCGTCAGTGGTCACATAACGAAACGTAATTATCGACTCAAGTACTCTGGCAAGACCGATTACATTCTCTGTAAAAAGCATCTCTCTCTTACTACTTGTAATGCGCCATATTATTAATAACCTTATGTCTTTAATAAAAATGGCATCAGGCTCAATTAACTGTCCGGAATTACTATCGCAAATATTAACTCTTTGAGAAACAATTCACTTTTAGTTTTTTTTTTTTATAAAAGAATAAATGCATATTTGACAACCATCTCACGTGACGATTTGGTCGATGATGGAGCATGCACGTGACGGTGTGACCTCCTTGCATCGTCATCCCACCTTTTTATTACCTTTCTCCAGTTCCTGGCCACTCGTATTTAAATTTAAATTTAGAATTGTTCCATTCTTTTGCCTCACATTCTGATTTCACTCGTCACTCCCTGCTCGATCGCGACAGCGGACGGAGCTGTTTAAATTTAATCACGTCTAATTTTGAGTATTTTACCAAGTTATAATCATTGCAATGTAATCTAAATCATGTATCAATCTTAATAAGTGTATTACAGTCTACAGCCTTATCATGTACCTATGAATACTTAATATCTTTATATTCATCATTAAGTTACGAAGTGTTTTATATTAAGGTACCTGTTTCCTTACACCATTTCTTCTTAACCCGACTTTTAATAAATTTGTTGACCGGAAGTTTTCTGTTTTACTGCCGTGAACCTGGTCACGGCTTGTTATGGTTACAACCCTTTCATGCACACCTAAATAAGGCCTATTCACTCTCGTGGCCCATGAGGCCCACGTTATAGCGTTCAGGCAGAGAATAAAAAGTAAAGAGAACGGACACTCTCCGCCCCTCCCTAGCTTTAGATACCACACCACGCCCCGCACATTGCCGGTCACATTGACGGAACGACAACAAGGCTGCCGGCGAACCGTTTTTGTGCGAAGATGGCTTTGATATTTGATAAAGTTTTCATTTATTTATTACGAAACATGTACGTTAACATAAAACATCATTTTACGTTACTATTTCATCATCATTTTCCGAAAGATGAAACGAAGTGAGTAAAAAAACTTATGTCTGAGACTCATTCAGTTATTGTTTTCTTCATTTATGTACTGCAGTAAATCGCAAAGATCTGAGGGGCACAGCCACCGCGCCCTCGCGTACAGTCAGGTGTACAGTACGGTACAATGTTTGAGTAGCCACATTATTTGATATTTTAATTATTGTTTCCAAAATACGACGTTATTTTTTTGGAAATTTTTCAGTCTGTAACGAGTACCTTAGACAAGAGCTCCCTTTACACGAGTATCTCGCGTGATCAGGAGCGTACAAGATTGCGTACGATAAAACCTACATGTGCAATCTTCAATTCTTTTGCTCGCGATTGCTCGTATGCGTTATCTCCTGTAAAGGCTAATATCGCAGGATAAATCACACGAAACTGGTGCGTGTTGGAGTGCGCAATAGCGCGGTCCTTCTCTTTTCCTCCCAACGTCTATACACGCGCGCGCAATCGCGCACAATTGCTTATCACGCGCTATGGAGTGTCTGTGTAAATCCCGCTAATAGAATTTTGAATCAGAACTTTGTGATATGATTTATGAAATAACAATTGACAGATTAAAGTACAGGAGAAGAAAAAGATTATTTCATTCATTCTCTAAAATCGAACTTCTAAGAGAGTCTAACGCCTATCCACTTATTTCAGACCAACGAACTGTTCCACCAAGAAATGGATCAAGAAGGAGCCACAGTCTCCCTCAACGCGCCCCAGACATACGACGCGGTTTGGGCCATGGCCCTGGCCCTGAGCCGAGCTGAACTCATGTGGAGGACATTGGAAGACAATAACGGGACCAGGAAAGGATTTGAACTGGGGCTGGGGTACTTTGATTATGATAGAAAGGATATGGCAGAAGAGTTTTTGAATCAAATTGCTAATCTGAGCTTTATGGGTGTTTCGGTAAGTTTTGTATTCCATAGCATGTTTTATTGCTCCACACGGCTGCTTTCTAGAATAATATTATATATACTACCAAGAAACGCATTGTTTGTACTACGGTTCTAAATTACTAGGAATTTGGTCGCAAACCATGTTCATTATAATCAGAGGGTTCATCTTCGAAGTTAATACACATAGAGTGAATAATGCTACGAAGAAGGCTTCGTAGTTCTATGTTAATTGATTATGTAACTAGTAACTACTTACCTACGGTAAATAAATACAATAAGAGTAAATAAAATAAAAAGTGTTTATTGTTTATTTAGAAGAAAAGTTACGTTTTGTAAGTTAAAATATTACTATTTCGTTCCGATTTTTTACTTTCTATTTTTAATTATTCCGATGTTTCTGTAAGAGGTTTTCTGTAGAGCACTCTATGTGTCCCTGTCTAAGTGCAAGTAAAAAAATCACAACATAACACAAAATATGAAGGATTTTATTGTATGGCAATACGCGCTAAGCCTCGCAAACATTGAGGTTTATGGAATTATATGTATAGGTACGTACTACAAAAACAATATAAACTAAAAAAATCAATTCACGAAAGTTTTATATGTTACCGCCGACGCGAAATGCGCATCTTTCTCGCTCTTATTACGTGCACATACTCGTAAAGCCTTTTCTACACGATGAGTGGTAATAAATGTGACTTCTTATACATTTTAATATTAGCACCTAATGTGTAATTGCGATGTCTAAAGTAAGTAAATGTATACCTGTATTTTAAGCATTTTCTTGGGCAAATTTCTTTATATTACAGTTTAAAAACAGATTTTCTATATTTAACAATAAAATAATTAGTAGTTATAAATTAATGATTATAAAAATATAATTATGAACCAACTTTCAGCAAGTCCTCCGTTTAATTGTAAGTTTTACTCTTAAGCCAGGATTTGACGGTCTTTTTACATTCTAATTTATTCATGGCGAAACAATGCAAAGTAGAATTTAATTTAAAGGAATGTACCAAGAAAGCAAAAGAATCTATGCGAGTGTGCAGTGCGGACTTGTGTACGAGATGAAAAGGTATCAAGTCGTCTGTGGTTGGTTGAAGTAACGGAATCAAATGAAGTAATGGGTGCTTTTTCAAAATTATTTGTTGGATACACAGTTGCCGAACCGAGACATTGCACTCGTTTAGGAGTTTGCGAGTTGGATAATCGAAAGGATGGAAGTTGATGACTTTAAGAACAGCTCTCTACGCTCTTTTGAAGTTTATCAGCGTGGTCTTATGTGCACCGCCCCAGGATGTAATGTTGCAATGATTGACAGAGGGTTAAATACACTGATTTGAGAAGGGCACTGCTAGCTGCATATCTTAAATTTTTAAAAGCATATATCAATTTTCGAACACTAGAAGTAAGCGCTACAATATCATCATCACCCTTTTATACTGGTGTTTGAAATTAAGATGTTTGTCAATTATGAGACCTAAATATTTAATATTTATTTAATTTTATTACAGGTATGCCTAACTAGAGTGAACATTAATATACAACAATATAATTAATTGTTCTGTGATTTATTAAGATAGATTAATGTGATATGCCGCTTGTGCCTCTGATAACATTGATTTCAATTTACCTCAATAGCATTATTAAACTATTAGACTTAGTATGTGTCTCGCGCCTTGATGTGTTCTACACTTACACCGTCAATGAACACGGGTCCCTTACAAAATTTACGATTACTAGAGTTATTATAATGCCTACAATTATTATAATACTCGGTTTTTTTTAACTTAGATATATATAAATATTCTATGTCTGTGTAAATATTTACATCTAGCAACCCCGCTTTTATTCAAGTTTAGTCTCTCTCCGTCCTATGGTTGTCTGGTGTAAGCGATAAGACCGCCAATTGTTACCCTGCTAATATGTTTAATTTT